ATTGAAAATATAGGGCAAAGCAAATTCAACGTTGCATAGCATTATTTAACGTAACAGATTAACACAAGCTGACATTTTGAGGCCTATATGTTAATAGTATCCCCAGCAATAGCACCCACGGCACTTACCGAATGATCCCACGGTTGTCGTTCCTTCACCGTCTGCTCTCGAATGGAACGAAGACCTCAGGGTCGAGAACCGACTCCTCTGCTTATACTTCACACTACACAGTACTCAGAGACCACGAGGAGGAGGACGAAGGCACAACAGTATTCTCCAACTCATCATTTTCCTAAACAATGCGTGAAGAAGACCGGATCTGGAGTGTTTATTGACGGGTTTGGGGTTGGAGTTGGAGTAGTATGAAGATGTAGTGGAAAATGAATGTTTGGGTTGAGATTCCCACGTGAAAGGAATCGAGCCCAAGACTCGACCATAGTAGACAAGGCTTGATAAAACCCAACTTGTCATCCTGCTTCATTTCCACAGCTTCAGTGCTCATGTTACCAATAAATTGTGGGAATCCAAGAACCAGATGAGGAAAGCTCTAGGTACCCTTCAATTGAGGTTTTATGATATATAAATAATCCAAGTCTCAAGTCTTATCAAACAAAAAATATCTCAATTTGATTTTAAATATAATTAAATTGAAATATAAATACCAAATAATTCATTAATGATTGACTTTAAGATTTATGTCAATATAGTATCCCTTACTGATGTTGATAATAATAATGCTACAGCACAATGCAAGCATTCAACCAGTCATGTTTACTCGATTGCGATTGGCTTCTCTTCAACGACGACGAAATGTTCGTTCAATTCAGGATCATACGGATTTAGACCGTTGTTGATTTGGGACATAAAACAGTATAGTAAGCTAAAATAGAAGATATGTACCTACAAAGAGAAAAGAAACAAATAAGTAAATGAAAAGAAAAACTCTAATGTAAAGTTATTGCTCTCCGGCAGCATGGCCAAAAATTTGATGTTAATAATAATTATGCTACAGCACAGTGCAAGCCACACTATAGTATCAAAATAATAAAGTGGAAGTTGTTAAGCTTCAGATGTCGAACCCACATAGAGCTAAAAGTTTACAGAAGAGTTGTGTAAAAGAATAATATAAACTTAATTGTAATGATTGAAGAAAAAGTAAACAACAAGATAATGAAAACAAAATGATAAATGTCAGACAGTGCTACAACATTCAGGAGAGCAACAGATCTAGGATTAAATAGATGTGGGTAATATTTGGCAATTTCTACTAAGCATATATTCAAGACTATGCATTCATGTGTCTCGTAAGGATTAACATCATTTAATTAACAAGAGTCAATTTTCATTAATTCTATTTGATCAAATAGTTAACAATGCTTAACAATGGACAACATATATTTTATATATCAAATATTGCTCTTAACAAACTCCAAAGATGCACAAAAGTAGTATGAAAATCCATAAAATTCATTTCCAAAAATTATAGAATCACATACATAAAGATAACTTCATCTCTAAAATTATCTCATAAGTAAAGCAACACATAAAAACAAAGTTCAAATATAAAACATAACAAAAACATTTAATCAAACACCTTATATTCATGAACCAAATATAATCCAAAATGGAATAACATTCAACTAAATAACCATCACTTCCCTATCTAAAAAAATGGAAAATAAAGTTGAATCCTCTTGATCGTCGTTGCTCGTTGCTGCTGCACTCCCGACGGTGGGCTTAGGCTTCCATAGAAGGTGGTAAATGGAAAAAGTAAAAGGAGGCTGTGAAAGAATTCGAGTTCCATGAGATGAAGAAAATGTTGTATTTATAGTCTCATAGGGTCAAACTTTCCTCCAATAGAAAAGTTTTTCCTTCTTATGAAAAATCATTTTATTTAAAATTCAAACTCTATAATTATCTTCAGCAGCTAATAAATTTCAAATTCCAACCTTATCTTCAGCAACTAATAAAATTCAAATTCCAGTATTATCTTCAGCAGCTAATAAAATTCAAATTCCAGCATTATCTTCAGCAACTAATCAATTCCTAAAAGTTCTCTAATTGTTGGGTGATTTGTTGAATGCTACAACAACGTCTCAGCAATTCTGTATCATATCAACTCACAATAACACCTACAACGTCAGACAAAGTCACAGCATCATAGTAGCAAATTCATAGCAAAATCATCAAAATCAACCCAAGTATCAACAATCTCTCCCAATATGCAAATAATGAAAAATATACTAAAATTATTCTAAATGTGGTCCTAAACATACTAACGTTCAAGCTTAACCTAAATAAAAAGGTTCTAAATAATAACTCATTTGGAGAGTTATCACTTATAATGAACCATACTTTCCCTCCCTTTCTATATGTTATTACTTTTAGTTTTGTACGAACATAGATAGTTAGATAGAAGAAGCAAAAGCAGTCGTATTTTCAATATTTTTTTATTAATTTTTTTATAATTTAAATATTTTATTTATATTTTTATTAATAATTTAATTTTACACTCCTAAAACTTAATATAAACTTTTTAAAAAATATACATATAACATAAAAACTTACCTCCGTTTTTATGTACATTTATGTTATAAGTATTTTGTATATGTTTTAAGCATTCAATATGGTTATAATTTTTTCTCTCTCTCTTTTATAAAAAATAAAACTAGGTTTGGTTTGGTTTGTTTTGATTTGATTTTTAAAATTATTTTATTTTATTTAAAAAAACATATATTTCTTTTTTTTAAAAGTAAAAATAAATTTAATAAATAGAAATAAGATTTTTTTCATTATTTGAAGAGAAAAATTGAATCAATTATCAAATATAGTTTATTATTTTAAGTGAAAAGGATATGTAGTTTTAGGAGAGTAAATGGTATTATTATTATATAGTTTACGTGAAGTGGCGGGTGTCCCCATTCAAGGCCCGAACCGACTCGCTCCACAGTGGACCCGTCCGGTGCTGATATTAGAAAAACTGATTGATTCTTAGCCATTTGGTCCCAATATTTTTTATTTAAATTATGGTTTTCCTATCGCTTCATATTTAAAATAAATATTATAACGATCATTTACACTAAATATTTATTATAAATATATAAAAATAATTGTAATAATATATATAATTAATATTTAAATGATAGAGTAGATAACGTTTCACTCAAATTTAGTTAGATATAAATGTATGGGTTGAAGATAATATGTTTTAAAAAATTTAAATTCTCATATAATTTAGATATTATTTATTTATAATATAATTTAGATTCAACTTCACCGCTTATTTTACTTATAGTTTTAAAATAATAAAACATTTTGTAATTATATTGAAATTCTCTATTTATGACGCGTAAGGTATATGTAATGGTTTTAAATTATGTTTTGGATGTCGGAAGTGTCTAATTTTTGCGGTTGTTTGTCTATGAATTTTTCGTTACTGTTTGTTTTCTGACAAGTTTCCCAACGCGATGTGGAAGTGTTTGACATTGCAAAATTGGTGGAGCGAGCAGCAGAATTGGAAAAAGATGTGATTGTTAAGGAAAGAGAAACATTGGATGTGCTAAAACAATTGGAAACTGACTATGGAAGAAGTAAAATTAAAGGTTCAGAAAGAAGCATAATGTAACCCTTGAGAAGAACATGGATGATATGAAACAGAACCATCAAGTTGGCCATCCAAACTCCAGTTCTCGGAAAGAAGAGAGAGGTTAAGTCAGAATTCGTACGTCCAAGATATCATCCCTTGAAGAAGAGCTAAGACTTAAACAAAGGATGCTGAAATCAGAAGCGGCGCTGATATTCCAATGGATATATCCAGGGAACTCCAATGAGGCTGAGCAGATCAACAAAATAGGACATGCAGCTAGACCAGAGGTTTCCAGAGCTGTATCTGAAATTCAACAGAGTAAAACCAGATTAAAAACTACCCAGATGAGGCTACTCGCTGCCAAGAAAGCCAAGGAAGCTGTGTCTCTCGCAGAGATCAAAACTCTTTCGCGCAAGGAGAGTTCAACCTGTGCAAAAGGAACAAGGGGTGGCTATTTCATTCCAAGACTGCAATGCGTTAACGTGCAAGGCTCACAACTATCTAATAAGAAACTGGTTGATGCGATGCTCAAAGCTAAGTTGTTGAAAATGGAAATCTTGAAGAAAGTAGAGGAGGAAATCAAAACTAGTACGAAGGCCTTGGAAGAATCATTGAACAGAGTAGATGTGAAAAAACTGACCAAGATGATGAAAGTTTAATTGGCCCGAAAGGACATAATAAAAGTTCAACAACTATAAGGGTCCGGAAAAGGCCATTCCACCAACTTTTATTAATTAAATGTTTGATGATATATCTAAGATCTAATCATGATAAAATTCTGAACAAACCGTAAGTGTGACAAAGGATTTCAACCAGAAAACATTGTGATCGACCGCAGAGTAACAAAACCTGGAGAAGGGATAAGTTATAAGAAAAGCCAACTACCAAGTTCCCAAACCGACACTCATCTGTGCTCTCTCTCTCTTTGCTTTGACCTTCTCTCCCCCATGTAGCAAAAACTATCTTCTTCCATTAATTTTCTTCGTTTCTATTCAGTTTTCATAGATCCTACGCTATCTTAATCTGGGTTTCTTTTACTAGTGATTTCTTACCCTTATGCAAAAATCTTTCATGCGTTTTCTTCGTTTTCTTTGTTGAATACTAGTGTTACTTTTGTTTTCTATTCATTATGTTATGCTTTAATTTATTCACTGGTAGACTCACAGAATCTGATTTGTTATATAAGCTTTTATGTATTTGTTTTGTGTTGGAATAGTTTCATCTTATACCTGTGTTTAGTATTGAAAATATTCAATAAAATGAATCTGCGACTGCAGAATTAACTCTTGATGCTAGAACAATATGCTTTTGAATACTTTCACAATATTATTGAGGCTGCTGCCTTGCTTATTGTGACGACCTGACTGGTTGGAACTCAGTCCAACAGGTTAGGCCATGACAGATCTACTTATCTTGTCTATATGTGGTGATTAAAGGTAATACAACTTTGCATATTTGGATATGTGCTGGTTTAAGGATTTTTCTATTGTTATTATATCATCTTTTTTACCTTTGGTTATGTTAATCGAAAAAGATATCGACTTTTCCTTTTTAGCATGCTTTGTTTTGCATTATGGGGTTCTCATGTATTTGATGAATAACTCCAGGCATTATGGATGTGAGATTGGGGCTTTTGTTCCTCCTTGTGTTGAGTGTTAGCTGGGCATCTAAAGCTAGACAACTAGAAGTTGTCGAGGTACTAATCTCCGATGAATCAGGTAATTCACTTAAGACTTTTTTTCCTAGTGGTGAGGGAGGGTGGAATTTTATGACGTGGGGAGTTTTTTTTTATTATTATTATTGGTAAAAACTGAAAGATGACTCTGGCAATGATTAATAATCCATATTCAGATGTGGTTATAGCAATACAATTGCCGTAGCTGAACCGAGTCTCTTGGTGAATGTGTTCTAAGATCCTTAAGATGCTTTTGAATAACAATGACACACGCTTTGAATAAATAAATGGTTACAGGCTAGAAGTAGACTATTAGTTAGCATATTATTCGATTAGATTTATTTATTTATTTATTTTTCCCATTTAAAACCTAAAACGTTTTGTCTATAAACTACGTAAAATTCATAGGCACACTGTCAAGTGAGTGCTTAATTATTCGAAATTGATAAGGGATTTGAGATGGAATGTGCAATCGTATGGCTATTTAAAATTGCGAATTGGAATTGGGCACCTTAAAGTTTGAAATAACAATTCATTTGCTGTATGTGGTGCCTGACTCCCTCGAAATCAATTTGCAAACTATTCAACTTTTTGAATTAAGATTGTTGAATGAAAGTGAGAAAATAATCAAAGTGCAATGACTTGGAAATCCAGGTTCAGTTGTGCAGATAAAGCCGGGGGTAGATGAGGAAGTTATAGAAAAGGTTGCTCGGAACGATAATGTGTGCCCCTTGTGTGAGGAATTCACAACCGAGGCAATTGAATACCTTTCTCAGAATAAGACCCAGGCTGAGATAGTTGAAATGCTTCACAAGAGTTGTTACCGTATACCATCTTTTACGAAGCAGGTAAAAGCATAAAAGCTTCCTTCAATTCATATTCATTACTAAATCACTCCGATTTATACTGCACAGTGCATTATGCTCGTGGACTACTATTCTTCTCTTTTCTTCTTGGAAGTGTCTTCAATTCAACCTCAAGATTTCTGTACAAAGTTCAACCTTTGTCAAAAAGTTGCTCTTATATCTTCACAAATTCGCGAAGATAGCTGTGGCATGTGCCACCATGCTGTTTCCAAGTACTATATAAGCTGCAAGATCCCCATACAAAGGTTTGCTTTACTCCCGTATTTCTTAAAGCTACATGCATGTCTACAAGGTTTGATCTATATAAATAAGTTGATACAGACATACATGTGCATAGCTCTTTGGTTGAAGCAGTGTAATGTGAGGCTAGCTCTGGACTAATTCAGTTACACGTGAACATATTTTTATAGAAAAGGTTGGCATTTAAATTATAGCCTGGTTTATTCTGATCTCCATTTGTTCCATGGTGCCAGTTGGAGATAATTCAACTCCTTTTGAAGGGCTGTAACTCAATGCAGAACCATGTGCAGAAGGTGGGTGTAATTAAAAAATTACTGCTCTACTTTTTATCCTCGATTTTTACGCATTCGTAAGATCAGTTTATAGGAGACACTTGTCTGGATTGTAGATTTGTTTACACTATAAATCTCCATGGATTTAGTTAGGCACGTTGTTTTCTTATTGGCAAGTGTAATGAAAATAAATCTCCATGTTTAGAATTCGAGTTTTACGTTTTCGGTTTTGTTCCCCGTTGAACTCTTAAGCTACCGTGGTGTGGTTTTTGTTGTCAGTGTAAGCAGATAGTTTTCGAGTACGGGCCTCTGATCCTAGCAAATGCGGAACACTTTCTGGAAACGACAGATGTTTGCACCAGACTGCATGCCTGTGATGGTGGAAAGCAAGCATCAGTTGCAGATTCTTAGTAGTTGAATCATCTATTATAATACCACGAGGATGTGTTCTTGTAATATTATATATAAACTTGTGGATTTGCAATTGTGTGTGTAAGAATTGTTAAGCTGTGGATTTGGTGGAATTTGATTTCTTACAGTGCCATGAATCAGTGGATCATTCTTGGCTTCGGCTTGCAAGAAACAGTCATAGCTAGGAATTAAAATGATTTTGAATCGAATGGATATATGTTTTGGGACATGATTTATCTGTATCCAATTATTGACCAAAGATCCAAACATTGCTTTCCACCCCTAATTACTTCATTTATCAAACTTACAATGATAGCTCCTAGAGCTGGTTACGTGTGATCTAATCATCATTAATTAAACATAAAAGCATTTGCTTAATATTCATTAAAAAAGATTGTTTTCTTCAAGTGTTTTTACTTTATTTTTTAAAGTTAGTGTTAGCTTAATTGGTTGTTTTGTGTAGGGATGTCCACCGGTTGAATTGGGTTGGACTTTTGGTCAATTTGATTCGATTTAAGAATTATACCACTTAAAATTTTGTTTGATTTAGAATTAGGGAGTTTCATTCGATTCGATTTTTGAAGTGAAAACTTGTATCCGACCTTACTCGACATAAATTTAAAAATATTTTTTATTCGATAGAATAAAGATCTAATTGAAAAATCTATATAGTGGATGTATTATAACAATATCCTTGAACATATAAAAATTATTTATTATCTGGAGTCGGGTTAAGACATCATCCTTTACAAAACACAATATGATCCTATAAGATCAGATTAGAAACGATCAAGTTTGGATAAAATAAACATCCTAATTTATACAGGAAAATATTATGTTTATATTTTTTTTATTTATATTTAACATGTTATTTTATCAAATTTAAAACAAACACAAAATTATATTATTTTTCTTTTCATATATAGCCTTTCTTTCGCAAAAAAGGTATTTTATGTAGCAAACTTTTAAAAGGTTAGTTCAATTGCTCCTTATAATTTTTTAAAAATCGCCTTGATCAACATATATATAGGTATAGCATTAGCCAATGTATAATTGGTAAAGGCACATCTAACATTTTTTAGATAAAATTTGTATAACATTTTATGATTCTTTCATTCTTGTTTTTTTTATTCTCAAATATTATATAATCTATTATTAAACACATTGGATTAAAAATACATTATCAGAAACGTTTTAAATTAAATGCATTTTTATCCTCCATGACCCAAAATATATCGTTTATTTAAATAACCTTTTATGCATGTTATTTACGTAAATATATATATATATATAACTGCCCCAAACATTCCTTATAAACGACAGAATGTTTTGAACTGTGTCTATAAGCCAGTGGGACCCACATGTCCCGCCACCCAAGAAAAAGACAAAAAACCCCGAATTACGTGGCCTTATATAAACTGACACGTGTAATAAAACCAGTGACATTTGACGCTTCCCCGAACAATCATAAATGACAGCTCGTCCGTTTGCAACTTGCAACGGTTATCTGAGGAAGGTGGCACCTAGGCCCAGCGAGGTATTTCACTTGCAACGTGGCGGACAATGGTTGGCCGTTGATGTTACACGAATTTTCACATGGCTATTGCGCTGTCATTGATTGTTAGATTTATAAGTTTCTTTCGACAACAAGCTTTTCCCTTTATAGATTTAAATATTAACGTTTGAATTTAAATTTTAAACACTAAAAGTTACGTTTCAAATCTCTTCATTCCATTTTTATAATACTTAATTAAAATTTTAAAAATAATATATATTAACTATAAGGTAGTTTAATGATACGAGATTTTAAGATTTTTAAATTATATATTTTAACAGATGTTGTCAATAAAAAATATATTAAAAGATATTCTTATTTCAATAATTTTAATCGATTTAATCAATATAGTTATTCTAAAAATACATTATATTTCAATGTGTGCATATTATATCATAAATCATCAATCAATATGGTTAAAAAGGCTTTTAAGTTATGATATTTTCCTTCTAAAATTGACCATAACACGTCTCTATGATTGATAGGTTATCATTTTAATCAATATTAACGCGGGTATTTATCATAATCAATAGGTAAATTCAAGTTGACGCATACAACAAAATCAATCATTTTTCCATAATAAATATCATTTTTGGGTAGGTTACAACCTCGTTTTGTTATATAAATGTTATCACATTGCCTCCTCCACCTTTCAAAAAAATTCTCTTGCTCATAGCTGCTCTCTACTTCTCACTGTTATCTTATGCATCTGTTGTTTCCTCAGAAATAAAGGGGAGAAAGCATTCTTACGGTTTTCAAGGTACAAACTTTCAACCTTAAATTTTCCAGGTTCACTTTCTTTTTGCTCCATTTTATGATTTCATTACTCTGGGGTGTCCTAGTTTCGCTTGAAATCTTTAGATTTGTTCTTTTTATTAATGTTTTGCTGGTAATTTTGAATTTACTTTAGTATTAGAAACTAGATGTTTTGGTTTCATGGTGCTAGCTAGGTTCAACCTCAGATTTTTGTTTGGATTTAAAAACTAGAGGCTGAGATTTACTTCAATTTACAATGGTTTTTGGACGAATCAAATTAGAATTCGGGTCATCATATGACATTTGATCTTTTATTATATATGTGTGCTGTTAATGCCCCTGATTTTGTTTTGAAATTCTTCATCAGGTGAACACTACATACATTTCTAGTCAAATTCGAAACTCTGTTACGGTCTGGTCTAATTCGGTTCGTCATTCTCGACTGGTTTCCTAATATCTTTTTAGTGTTTTCTTTCTTGGTTCACAAGGAAACCAGGGAATGCAGAAAGATGAGGTTGGAAGTTGAGCACCATTCGTTTGAGGTTAATGAAGTTGATGCTCTGTTTGAGCCGCCCTTACTATATACCTAATGATAATCGGCATTTAAGTTTTTATAATAGGCTGTGTTTCCATGTTATGATGGCTATTTTGACTAGTAATTTAAGGGAACATGTTATGCCAATGCGTGACTGTGAAGATGGTTGAGCTTTAGCAGAGTTTCAGGTCGGTTGCATATACATATATCAGAAACCTAGATCAGATATAGTAGTACTTGTTAAGGTAGATTCTGCTGCTATTGATATACTGGAAATGGAGTGTAAAGGACTGTGTGGGAAAGTATGAATGGGGGAGGTTATTAGGACAGGGAACCTTCGCCAAGGTTCATCGTGCGAGGAATATCGAACCGATATGAGTGTGGCCATTAAGATAGTTGACAAGGAGAGGGTATTAAGGTCGGGATGATGGATCAGATTAAGCGCGAAATTTCAGTCATGAGATTGGTTAGACATCCCAACATTGTCGAGCTTTATGAAGTAATGGCCAGCAAGACGAAGATTTACTTTGTTATGGAATATGCTAAAGGGGGTGATTGTTCAAGAAGGTTGTGAAAGGGAAGTTGAAAGAGGATGCTGCGAGAAGGTACTTTCAGCAGCTAATCAGTGCTGTCGATTTCTGTCATAGTCGAGGAGTTGTCATCGGGATCTTAAACCGGAAAACTTGTTGTTGGATGAGCAGGGTAACCTTAAGGTTACGGATTTCGGGTTGAGTGCTCTGAAACGAAACAACAAGATGGATTGCTCCACACAACATGCGGGACGCCTGCTTATGTTGCACCCGAAGTTATCAGCAGACGAGCTACGATGGATGCAAATCTGATGTCTGGTCATGTGGGGTAATCTTATATGTTCTCCTGGCTGGCTATCTGCCATTCCAGGACTCGAATCTGATGGAGATGTACCGGAAAATGGCAAAGGGGAGTTCAAGTTTCCCAACTGGTTTTCCCCCGAAGTACGTAGGTTGCTGTTGAAAATCTTGGATCCGAATCCAAGAACAAGGATCTCCATCGACAAAACGGAGCATCCCTGGTTCACAAAGGAATGGACCGTAAACCTCAAGTCAAAGAACCAGCTATCGTGCCGCAAACCCCAACTCCCTGTACTAACTTGAATGCCTTTGATATCATCTCCTTGTCTGCAGGCTTTGATTTATCTGGTTTATTCGAGGAAAAAGAACAAAAAACAAGTTAGATTTACATCGAACAAGACGGCTCCCACCATAATTCGAAACTCGAAGACATTGCTAAGCGTCTAAAGATGAAATAAAGAAGAAAGATGAAGGGTTGTTGAAGATAGAAAGCTCAAAAGAAGGCAGGAAAGGTACATTGGAGATTGATGCCGAAATCTTCGAAATTACACCGTCCATCTGGTGGAGGTTAAAAAGAGCAATGGAGACACGTTGGAGTATCAAAAGTAATGAAACAAGAGATAAGACCGGCACTGAGCGACATTGTTTGGGCTTGGCAAGGCGAGCCGCCGCTGCAAGCGCCACCGCCTATGGAGCATCAAGAGTCGCAACAACAATTTCATGTAGTTTCGACCCAGAGTTGATCAGCGTTTTAAATCACCTCGTATTTTCAAACTATCTTCCTTTAGTGTAATAAAGTTAAGACTGTCTTAAGCATGTTCGTGTGGGTTCTGGTAATTTGTACTTCAGCTTTCGATTACAATAAGTCTATATTAAACTATCCAACTCACAAATGATTTTCGAATAGTAAGATTTCATCCTTAAGTCCAGATCGGTTTTGAATCAATTTTGAGTCATCACCAAATTGGGTAACAAACAGTTTAGATTCTAATCGATTTCAATTAATTTTTCAGATCAGATGAATTTAAAATTTAAAAAATACATAAACTAAAAATAATCAAATTATAATATAAGCTTAAATCTATAATTTATGGCTAATATCATAAATAATATACGTTGGATAGCTATTTGAAATGTTTCTTAAAATAAATAAATAATACTCCTTAGTTTGGAATAGTCAAAAACTTTCAAAAATTAATTTGCAAAATTAAGGGAAAAAAAGTAATTTAAGACTATTTTTCATAATAAGTTAACCGTTAAACATAACAAACAAGTGTCACGAGACACGCGGGCGGAAACCATCTGTCCCCAACTCAATCGTAGCCAGACAAACAGTCCATCCGATACAAAAAAATTATGCAAATATTAAGAAATTCCACGTGTCCAATCGAAATATTAAGACACGCATTCAGTCCTTTAAATGCTTCCCGTCTGCTC